GGCGGCCAACTTCGGGGGTCCGCGGGGCTGGCACCGGGCGGGACGCACGCGGGGGCGCCCGTGGGCGCGGTGAGCGCGTCCTCCACTTCCTGGCTTGCCTCCCTCCCACCGCCCTGCCCCGCGTCCGCCGAGGGTGGGAGCGCGCCCGGCCGGGCCCCTGTGCCCCGAGCTGCTCCCGAGCTCGCTCAGTCTGGAGGAACTCGCCGCCCGCCTCCTCTGGGCTCGCAGGCGCGTCCACCCCACGGCGAGACGACTCTGGATCCGTGATTCACTGCGTCTCGCGCGCTCGCAGGTCGGGTTCGGTTCCAGGAGGAGGGTCGGGGAGCCGGCCGGGCTGTCTCCTCGGCTCACGCCCGCAGCCTCGGAGGTGGGCGCGCCCCAGGGTTGCGGGTCCAGTGCCAGGGGCGGCCGCGGGTGCGCACCGTTTCTGCGTCCTGCCTGCTCCCCTGTGCTCGAGTGGCCTGGGTGTTTGTGGGGAGGGGAAGTAGGCTGTTGAGAGTCTCCAGGGCTACTCATTACGCTGTTTACCGAACACTCCCAGGCTGTCCCGGAGATCCATAGACCAGCTCAGAGAAGTTAAGCCTGAGCTGCAGATGCGAGGCGCCCCCCCTCGCCCCTCCCGTTGTCTTGGTTCCTCACGGTTACCCTCCCATATGCCGAGGTCCTGCTTTAACCCTTGCAGAGTTGCTGACTCGGATCCCTCTGATCCCTCCTGGGCAGTGTAAGTGCCGGCCCTCCTGTTCTGTCCCCATTCTTATTCTCCTTGATTCACAAGCCCTGTTCTGTCCCATTCTTACTCTGCTTGATTCACAAGCGCGCCTGTAGCCTCCCTATAGAGGCATTGAGTGGGTGCCATGCAACTTGGGTTTCTCTTGATTCACCTGGAAGGCTGTGGGGTGTGTGTGCGTTTAAACTTAATTCTAGAGTTAAGCTTCTGTGTTTTTCTTTTAGTGATAGTCTTGAAGCTTTAAAGACAGGGCCATTAGGCTGATGATATTTGTTACTTGGGAAAGTAACATAACACAGGAGAGTAGATGAACGATTAGGTTGCTCTCTCTATTCAGGTTTTTGGAGAATAACAGCTCTTGAATGGAAATAGTGTTCTTAGCTCAAGAACTGTTTGGGAGCTGAAACTTCATTACTTTTTGTGCCTGATGTTAAGAGGTAGTGATATTTAACTAATCTAAAGGCATGCATATGTAGAAAACATCTGCGGTTGCAGCATAGCCTGCTGCGGTGACCTGAGGGTTGCTTTACCCTGGTCCCGGGCACCCGGTCCAGATCCCTGACAGCCCAGCGTGTCTGCGCAGGGAACAGAGGTGTCTGTAACCTTGCCTTTTGTATCTGCCGCTTGAACGTTTGTGCTGAGTTAAAGCATGATGTGCAGGCTTCTCCTTCTGAAGAGTTGATCATTCTAAGATACTATGAAATATCAAAAAATTGCATTAATATTACTAACTGTAATGGCACTTGCGTTGAGAGATTGTAGGGCCGTTTATCAAGTGCTTTCTGGCCATCCTCCTCTGAACCTCCCAGTTGACTCTGGCCTGCTTTATCTGCCATCTGATTGTGTTTCAGCTTCCTGGAGGCCACCCTGTAGATTAGGCGGGTAATGACTGTGCTCACGTGATCGATAGTGCTGCCAGTTTTTTTCCAGTTGTGTGGAACTGCAGCTGCATACCTGTAGGCAACGAAGTCGTGGTTTAGTTATGAAGTCAGTTTGCATTCCACAGGTAGAGCCCTTTCTTTGTGGTCTCCAAAGTAATCCCTCACATACCTGGGAGTGCTGTCAGCCTGTGCCTGAGACTTGGCCCTGGGTAGATCTCAGTGGGGGTCCTGATGGTTGTCTAGGAATTCCTGATGACGTTTGGTGTTCAGATGGTTACACTATCTGCCTGTGGAAATCATCTTAAAAGAAGGATTTTCCAGGGATTCTGCACAATGTGACATTTTTGGCATCTGTATAGTTCCAAAGTAATTACTTGGGACAACAGTCATCTGAGAGTCCTAGTTTTGGTTATTTAAATTAAAACCACACTTAAAAAAGACACCCCCAACCCCACCCCGGGGTCTTACTATGTAGTCCTGGCAGGCCTGGAACTCACTGTGTAGCTGAGGCTGGCCAAAGACTTGCAGCAATCCTCACGCCTCAGCCTCCCTGAATGCCATCTCCTTTCTTAATTTATGTACTGACTTGTGTTTAGCATACATGATTGCATGCTTATCTTTTTGCATAATAAAGGAATACCAGACAGTTTTATTTTCTGTTTCCTAGCATCGTCTTTTTTTTTTTTTTTTTTTCTTTTCATTTTCCTCTTGCAGCACTGTAGATCAGACCTTTGCCCATTCTAGGCAAGTGTTTGCCATTTAGCTATATTCTGGGCCCATTTTTTCCCTTTTCAGTCTTTAAAAAAAATCATGTTTCTTGGTGCAGGCATTGAACTAGACAGAGATGAGACTGTAGCAGTAAATACAGTGCTGCTTCAACTTATCAGAGACCTTGATGAGGGACCTTAGGTAGGAGGAATAAGGATAGAAACTTTGCTGTAGCTTTAGAAATCATGCATGTATGGCTTGTGTAGAATTCTCTGTAACTGTATGAACTTTATGTGATTTTTTTTCTCTCTAGAATATGGGATAGTACAGTGAGGGATGTATGGTGGTCAGGAGTCTTGGGCTCTGTCCAGCCTTTGTTGGACTAATCCTGGGGTTTAGGACAGTCAACACAGATCTTATGGCCTCAGCTTTTGTATTTGTAGAGGGACTTGGAGGCTCTCTACCTTTTGAGAATCTGATAACTGTGACCCCCTTCCCAGAAAACACACATGTGGACAGCATCAGGGGCCTGGGCCCCAGTTAAGAACCAGATCACCTCCCCTCTAAGCTGCCTCTCCTCTGCTATAGTGATAGATACAGTGGTGAGCAGAGCACTGCTCTAAGCTACCTCTTACCCCACGTATTTGGTAATCCTATTTTCCCGGTCATCTTGAGCTAATAATAACAGTGACTTGTATTGGTAGAGGACATGCCTTCTAAAGTATTTTCACTTCTCACTTTTTTTGTGCTTAAAACATTTCTGAGTGGCATTGGTGGCTCTATATGTCTTTTTTTTTTTTTTTTAAATGAAGAAAGAGATAGCAAGCTCAGCCACTGCTTTAATAGGACCCTGTGTCCTCTGGCTGGGGCTCCCAGTTGCCAGCATGGGGTTTTTCCATTAGGTTTTGCTTCCTTGGTGGTTGTCATTATGAGTTATGTTTGGTGGAGTGAATATCCCAGAATGTGTCACTTGCAGAGGAAACTATTTGCTCATCTGAAGGAGTATTTTTCTGTTGGAATTTGGATCCCTAAACACCCTTCTGTCCGACTATGAAAAGCTTACTTGTTTTATTTTTATTTTCTTACTACATTTTTCATAGGGGCAAATTTACAGAACTTGGGTATTTTGAGCAGGTAATGTTTATTGATTGAAGAGTACATTGAAATGATTACTTTTTCAGCTGCTAAGCACTTGAAAAAGTTGTAAAATAAATGTTGCATGAGAATTCTGGATATTGAAGTCCTGTCTAAATGTCCTCAGGGATAACGTGCTGTCTTCAACCTGAGGCCCCTCTGAGGGCCCAGGGCCTCTGGGTAGGTTTAAAAGTTGGGTGTGGATTGTGCCATTGACCATGACTGTACAATTAGTGGCTTCTGTGGTCCTCTGCCCAAGTTCCTAATATTTTATAGACTCTTTTTTTCCAGTTTATTAACAGTAGCATCTCAGCTGAATAAAGACCTCATTTCTATGAAAGAATATGAAACTTTAAGGCTGCACAGATGTTAGAAATAAACCGCATCAGGTTTATTTCTGATGAAAGAAATCATCCAAATCAGATGTTTTGATTACTCAGGTGAAATTCCTGTACTGCACACAGTAGGTATCACTCAGGTGAGGCCTGTGTGGGAGAAAGCCCTGTGGTCCTGTCACTTAATGCCAGTGCCTGTCAGGAGAGGGGCTGAGCGGCATTCACTGCTGAGGAGTGGAAAAAGGATTTGTCTGTTTCACCGTATATTTATTTAGGATGCCCAAGGTGAAGAGGCTCTTGTGTTCTGCAGAGGCAGCTCAGTGTGAGAGGTGGGCCTGGACACATAACCTTCCTCTGTGACAGTACCAGGTAGAAGCGGATGCAAGGCAGATGGGGACAGAGGGTGGCAAATCTGACTGCCGTCAGGAAGCTGCAGAGAGCGTCTAAGGGAGATGCAGCTGAGAGGTGATGGGAAGGAGAGTCCTGCGCAGAGCTGCATGGTCATCAGGAACGTGAGTGTGACTGTCATGTGTGCGAGGGCTCTGAGCATGGAGGGAAGGTGAGTGGGCAGGCTTCAGGGAGCGGGTGCCTCCTGTGTCATCCTGAAGGCTCTGGGCCTTCTAGTGGTTGGGGCTCCTTAGAGAGCTGGTTAAACAGCAGCAGGAAGAAGATACAGAAGCAAGAGGTCAGTGAGAACAGGGACTTGGGATAAGGGTGATTTAGCTGGCTCCTTCCACAAAGGTCACCCTGTGTCCTTGGAGGCTGAAAGATTGCCATCAGCAGTTTCTAGGAAACAGTAGCTCAACGGTGTAATGACAGGTTTCTGGGGTGGCATGGCCTTGGTCTTTGACTCAGTCTCTGCCTGTGTTTGTGGTTCTGTTGGGTAATACAGCAGCTGCTTGGGCTCTGCTTGTCTTTTCCTATGGTTTATTCTCAAGTCTGTGAGGTTAGGATGTAACTTTGACTTGTGCAAGAAAAAGGGGGATATTGCAGTAAGGAATCAGAGGTGGAGACAGGGGATTGGAGAAGGACAACCCTGGCTTTGGGTTCCAGTTCTACTACCGGCCGGCTCTGTGCCTTCCTTGGCTGAATGCATCAACATTTTTGAGACTGCGGGTCTCAGCTTGGGCTGCTGTCACAAGGAACCATGGACATGTGACTTACGAACAGTAGAAACTTCTCACAGTTCTGGAGACTGCAAGTCTGACATCAGGTGTGAGCATGGTTGGGTTCTCTTTTGAGTCGTAGACAGCCACGTGATGGAAAGAGTGAGAGAGCTCTCTGAGGGCCCCCTTTTAAGGGCTTTAATCCATTCATGAGGGCGCCACTCTTCTGACTTGTTTTTATTTTTTATTTTAAAGAGTAAAAGTAGGATAACATAATAATGGGGGGGGCTTACCAAATTACAGACAAAGTGGTAGGAAATTATCAATGGTTATTGTTTTACATATTGTTATCTACAAGATAGTTTCTCAGGAAAACAAATAGACAAATAATAGTGAGTTACGGACAAAAGAGGTAGGAGATTATCAATAGTTGTTGTACTATACTTTGGTATCTTCAAAGTGGCTTCTAAAGAAAATAAATAGAGCTATACATGAGTGACCTATTGAATAATCATTAACTATTCTCAATGGTTGTTGTAACTGTTCTGACTTGTTTAGTTCCCAAACGTCCCACGCACTGCACCCACTAATACATTACATTGAGGGCTTGGATTTTTTTTTTAAATTTTATTTATTTATCTATTTATTTTTGGTGGAGACAGGGTTTCAATATGTAGTTCAGACTGGCCTTGAACTCACTATGTAGTCTAGGCTGGCCTCGAACTCCCAGTGATCCTCCTGTCTCAGCCTCCTGAATGCTGAAATCACAGCGTGCACCCCCACAGCCCGCTGAAGGCTTGGATTTGAACCTAGGAATTTGGGTGGGTGGC